AAAGAGTCCAGCTCCACTCCCACAACGTCACTGGCTTTGCGGGTCAGTTTATTCAGTCTGTTAGCGTCCGCTACCCTCAACCTGCTTCCCAATCACACAGCAAAACAGGATAGCACTGGCCACCACAGACTCACATGTTGAAGGACCTCAGCCTCCTCAGAAAAGAGAGCTGGCTCTGGCCCTTCCTGTAGAGGGCTTGAGTGTCCTTAGCCCAGTCAAGTTTATTGTCCATGTAAACTCCCAGGTACTTGTAATCCTCCACAGTGTCTACACTGTTTAACAGCAGCAGAGTTCTTAGTAACTTCACCACCAGAGCAAACAAGAGCTCACAAGTCATATTGCATCATATTGTGGCTCATTAGGAAATGTTTCTTGCAAGTTACTTTTGCACATGTTAACTGAGCTCTTTGAAACGTCTCATCTGCGCCTTTACCTGTGTCAAAGGATTAATGCATTCCCTTGGTTAACATATGAGATGTGATATATGAGAAGTGTTTACTGTCTGATGAATCCAGGAAGACTCTTTGCAAACCCTACTTAAAGCAACTGTGAATACATAACAGGTTTACTTCCTTGTCCTGCTGTCGTTATGGCTCCTCCTTTTTACTTCTTTGGAATTCTTTTCTTTCACTTTTATAACATTTGCATAAGTTAAAAATTTTCCTTCCTTTTACATTTCTCCCTCCCCAGCGTCTGATTTTGTCTGTGTTGCACTTCCTTCTCTCTTTAAAGGCTGTTAGCACTTTGACAGTGCTAGATAAAATGCATACATAAATACTGTTGTCAGATGAGGAGTTTCTTCTGAATGAAAAGTTCAGTGCAACTTCCTTAAACGGATGCATTTGTTCCGTATACTATATTAACATGTCAGTTAGTGAGTAAGCAGTTCTCTATACATATCCCATATACAATGACTTTATTTTATCTGTCGATTTTGACTTCTATGATAAGGGAACTGGAAATACCTCAAAATGTTGTGCTTATGTGTTCAGCTGTGACCTTTGGCCTCAGCACACAGGATGTTGCTGTTCAAAGATTATGACACTGCCGTTGCATCAGTCACCTTGCGCCCGCTTGTGACTGCGTTGCATCAGTTTCTCCCTCATTCGAGAGAATGACAAAGCATCTTCCCTGTCCTTTTCACCCTCCTCCCCTCTTTGTATGTGTACTTTGGCCCCATATTGACCAATATCTCATGGGACGAAAGCCTGGTCTTGACCGCAAGCCACAATAGTTCAAGATTTTAGGTTTCAAAAGACTAAACCAAATAGAAACATCCTGGTCAATAATCAGTGTGATCAAAGTTAGTGGTAAAAACTGTGATCACTTTACCACAGCAACTCAACAATGACTTCAGATATGACCCTGAGCTGACTCGATAAATACACTGTACGATACTGCTGTTATCAGTATTCAGTGTGTTGAAACTTGAACTTCCTACTTCTGCTTCCACTTGAAGTGAGAACCAAATGTACTTCTCCACAAAGTCAAGTCATATTTAACTTATATAGTCCAACATTGTATTTTATAATCAGGGCTTTCACATCTGTACAGTGGATGACAAACTCTGTCCCCCTAACCTTTAAGCCAGTGATTCCCAACATTTTTCCTTCAAGGTCCAGTGTGTAACACTGAGGAGGATCTATAGACAGAAATGGAATGTAATATTCATAAATATGTTTTCATTAAAGTATAATCACCTGAAAATAAGAACTGTTGTGTTTTCGTTACCTTAGAATGAGTTGTTTTTATCTAAAGAGGGAACAAGTCTTCTTGGAGGCCACCATGTTTCTACAGTGGCCCAGAACAGAAAAACCAAACACTGGCTTCTTTTCCTGAAAACTTCTGTGCAATTCTCTGTCTTTATTATTAATTTTTTTTGTTGACACATTTGCTCTTTGGATGTTTTAACTGTGTACTTTTCTAAAGCAGGACAAGGTTGTTCAGCAGAGAGTGCAGGCTCTGTGAATATAGCTTGTGTTATAGATTATAACACTTTAATTATTTTAATTAGCTTTGATAATAATATAAACTTTAAAAATAATAATTTTAATTTAGTTTTCTGCACAGTAATTAATCAAATACTAAGATATGGGCCTACTGTCTTTTTAATAAAGAACCTTAAAATCAAGAAGGCCTCACGAACCCCTGTGCAGCTTTGGAGACTCCTAGTCTGCACAGACTGAGGGACTGTGTTTCAGCAGGATTTCTCATAATAATAAAAAAATATAAAACAAATCTCATTTGCACAAACACCTTCATGTCAGATCCTATTCGCGTCGTCACAATTTTTGCTACCAGCACTCCCATCAAACCATTTAATTAAAGCCTGCAGAAATGACAGCTGAACCTTGGTTCACCTCTGACTCATGTCATAAGCAGATGAAATACGATCTACTTTCTTATATTCTCCTTTTATGGAGCAGATAAGCATACATGTAAACATACATCTGTCTATATTTTAGGTTATTTCCTGTCAGTAAAACCTTTTGACTTGTAAAATAAAGATAACTAATAACAATATAGATATTATAATGGAAGAAAACACCAATGTCTGCATTCCATTTAGTTCTATGATGCCTCTGTTGTGCATGCTGGCCCACCAACATACTGCTTACTGTAGCAAGATACTAATTACACCTTTGCCATCACTGGTGCTATTTCTTAAACCTGTGTTATTATTAAAAGCATACCTAATAGAATTTAAGCGGTGGTAGAGAATGACCGAGGAGAAGGAGCCATGTACTGATAACAAAGTGATTTAGGGAAATTAAACATAATTTCCGCATTGTTTCACAACACTTACGTTCTTAAGCATCTCCACGCCTATGCATAATCTTGCCGAAGGTGCACATTGTCGGATTTTATGTGAATTCAACAGATAGACACACACAGCTCTTTATACATTTATAGTCTCACATAGCCAGACCTATCTCCACACATTGCTTTAACGCTGTGCTAGTGCTTTTCATACACTTTTTCCTGTTTTTCCTTCTCTGACAAGTGAAAATGTCCCCTATAAAAAGACTATCTATCGTTCAAGGAATATCTATGACACAAAAGACAAACAAAAAAAAAAACAATTATAAAGTAACATAATGTAATGAAATAGCCCCACTACAAACCTTAGGGAAGCTAACATTTCTATGGACTCCCTAACAGAGGAGGAAGGCTGGAAATGACTGGTTCCCTCTCTGCCCCCCGGATATGTTATAAGTTGTTATCAACATACCAGATGCGTATCAAACAAAAATGAAGCAGGTTGAAACATTTCACTCAAGCAAACAAAATACCACACTTGCTCACTCACTGTCCTGAGGGTGATATGGATCTTGCCCACATAATAGTCTTATGAAACTATCTGCTCTTCCTTAGCGCTTACAAATAAAATTCATTAAGAAGTATAAATTTTCAATGTTTGTTTAAGCTGTTTTGGTGGTGAGCAAGGAGGGTGGGGTTTACTGCTAGCTGGTTGTGTGATTGTGTAATTAGCTGCAAATCAGAAAGAAGTCAATATAACTGACTTTCAACAACTTTAGTGGTGCACATGTGCATCGTCCTACCATGGTGAACCCACCTATAGTTCGCAGTGAGACTTAAAGCTAAAATCTGTAACTTATTTTTGTTTAAAAAAAACAAGTTTTTTTCCATATGATTTTTGGTGTTGAGACTTGATCTTTTTGCTGTGGTTGTAATCTCGCTTCAGCTGCTGCTTTTCAGTCATATTTCTCTGGGTGGCAGCTTGACAATGCCAATAGTATTAATAATTAAACTAATAGTAGTTTTTCCACATTTTCTAATTTCCAGCACTTTTTTCAAACAAAAATCAGGTTTTCACCAAATTTGGTTCAAGGTATGTTTGGATGAGCCCTTTTCTTATATGTTTAATCCCATTTTCAAATGATTGTATTTGTGTCTTAATGGACATAACATACCAGAACTCTTGAACACAAGAAGTACACATGCAAAAATGAAACCCATGAGAGGAAACAAGCTCTTTGTAAAAGTTAACTCTCCAACATTTGAAAAGTGGTTAAATATTTCTGTTCATCCAGAGTGTGTATTGTCCATGTCTGTAGAGCCAGTGGTGATATCAGTAGGGAGTGGTGGGTTTGTTATTTGAACAGTATTTCAGAGCTTATCTCAATAGATAATACAAGTCCTATCCGATTAGCTGATATGGGACATGCACCCTCTCTCTCTCTCTCTCTCTCTCTCTCTCTCTCTCTCTCTCTCTCTCATTTAACATGCCCAGTCTTGTCCCTCTCTTCAGTACAGACACAGCTGCTCTGAGCTCAGTCTGTAGGTGAACTCATGTTATGTTATGAAATTTTCTAGGTGTCAACAAAACATGAATTGCCTAAAGAGATGACCCGCCAACTATAAAAATGTAACAGCTGCCTCCCCGTGTTTATCTGGGAATTTATGTTTTTATTCTAATTAGTATATATTCTGAGGAAACGGTTGTTTTTCCTCATATGTTACCCTCATGCAATTTAATAGAAAGGTTGGTGCTGACGTAACTGAGTAACAAAAATGTGTGTGGGTGTTTAAGTAAAACAGAAGCCAACAGCTACTGAGGGCAATAATAAATTATTTATGCCTGTTATCTCGACAAGAACTTTTTTGTTTGTTTGTTTTATAATTGTTTGAATGTGTGATGTAGGTGAATGGGAAGTGGCTATAACATAAGTAACAAATTTTTACATTAAAACTCACACTATAACCTCGGAATTAGCTGAGTTAAATCAAATTACCTTCAGACAGTGTCAGACACTGAACTTTATTACTCACAAGCTCCACAAAGATAGGGTTCACTGGATTGTATTGTATTGTATTAGATTGCACAAGTGTACTTATAAACCAGTAACTAAGTGTATATAATCTATGTAAACTAAAGAATAGAATTTAGAGCACTGACTACTATTTTCCATATGAATGAAATGGGATAGGGTACTTTAAAAGCAAAGTGTTACAAGACTATTTACGACACCATGGTATCATTTGCAATACACATTTTTAATTAACAAAGTATCAAAAACAAAAGTTGACAGATCACAGAGATGGAAGTACACATTGGTAGTAGCAGTGCAGTTGTACCTGACAGCCTACAGTTTATTCAGTTAGGCTATGATGCTCCAACAGTTGAGCAGCAACAGGGGAAAAAAACAGCCAAAAAACAGCCTCCAGTAGAAGTAGGCACAATAGAATACATAGAATACATATACGCATCGAGCTCAGTGCCTATTAGCTATCTAGCCATGACGGGACAATGAACAACTTCAACCACAAAAACAACACACACGCTATGAACACACGCAGACGCCTGCGTCCCTTTAACCGTGTGACTCTCACAAGTTTTTTTTTCCTTACAGATGATAAACACTATAAACCTTCTTGCAAACATAAAATATAAAACTTCAGTCCTCACCGTGAATGGATATACAGTAATGTGCTGTTTGTCCATAAATTATTACTTCTGTTATGAACTGTTTGAAAATATTTATGCAAAGACGTCAGCTTGGTGAAGGGTTGCCACTTACTGAAAATTATTCAAATACTGATAACCAGAGTTTCCCTTTTGATGTGTTAGCTGTAGAGTGAATTGCAATTATTGAGGGTTTCAGTGTCTTCCTTGCAGTGCATGGCTACTTGATTGATTCTATGGTTTGTATTTGACAAGAAAAAAGCCTCCCAATTCTGGTTCCTCCCTCCGTTTCTGTTTGCGCAATAAACCACATTTCACTCTAAAGCAAACGGGCGAGAGAGGAAACGGGAGTAAAAGGAGGGAAACATATTTGGCAGTGAGTTTAAGTGATAAAGCTCATAACATACAGTATAATATCACATCCTCCTGCATTACTTCAGAGTCAAGCGTGGTAAAGGACCAGCAAAAAGCTGATGCAACACTTCCGATACCTAGCTAATGATATCTCGTGAACACAACTACCAAACCAAATGTTATTAATAAAATACATTTTAAAAAATAATCTTTTTTGTTTTGTTCTGTCAAGACCAAAGGAGGCATCCGGTGTTTACATACAGTAGCACAGTACAGAGTAAATGCGCAGTCAATACAATATATAAGATTTTAGGTAGAAAACAACATGTCTGAAAAATAACACTTGTACTCGTGAAGCTTCATCGTCACAGAAGATGTAAAAAGCAACACTAGTTCTGTTTAACTTAAGAGGGAACGCAGTGATAAATAAAGTGTACTTGTGACATTATGTACAGTATTCAATTTTTTGGGACAACTTTGCTTGCCAGTGAATTTCAAATTATTAAGAAAAGTAAGGTATTATCTGCATACACGATTATAGTGTAATTTTTACTATGCTTTTCTCATTAAGTGCAGAATTATAAACCCTGCCTGCAAAGTACATTTCCCTTTTATGGCTGCTACTCCTACCCTGACTGATAGCAAACAACCTCACACTTGTATTCACACTTTTTGAGAGGTTAGCTCTTAAATGGGGCAATAAAAAAAATCAACTTCTACAGTTAGGTCCTGAGTGGTTAGTAGTAGCAGCAAATTTAGTAGTTCATATTGGATTAAGGACAAGCAAACAGGGTTGATACGGCATTGACACGTCATACAGTAGTTACTTAATAAATATACTATTTCTCATACACTAAGCACAAACAACAATGTCTTTTTTTAAGTCAGTGACTTGCAGCTCAAACACACTCACACGGTCAATCTGTGTCTACTTTCTTTGTGGGTGAACTGTTGAATTATGTGCCTTTATCACCTTAAAATCCCGCTTTGGTACAAAAATCAGACACTAAATCAGACTCTCATCTATTCAAAATACCAGTAAATAAAAAATGATGTTTTGTTTTGTCTTTAAGTGCTTTAGCATCTGTCCTTGGCCCTGACTGTCTGTAATGCTTTGAAAAAAAAATACACAATGCATGTCAAGGTGATGTCCATGGTATGTCACTTCCTGCCCAATCAGCAGCAAAGGTATCAGGGAGCGGGAGGCGTTGAGGTCATTTTATGCGACACTCTCTCTAGCAGCTTTGTGGACGGCGAACGGGACCGAGGAGTCATCCAAAGGTGGCGTTTATTGTACGTCACATCATTCTCAGGTCATAAGTCTGTAGCAGCTCCACCTGCCTCTCAAACACTTGATGTGCTACATTAATGGCAGCAGGTGGAAGCATTGCAAGTCTTAGAAAAGTGGTAAAACACCTGATTGCTCATAGGTGACTGGGACACTGAATGTGATCGAGGGACAGAAATCCTCCGTCTAGAGGTGCTATTGTGGAGATGGATGTGGACAAGGAGGAGGAGGTGGTGGTGGCAGTGGAGGAGGTGATGTTGTGGAGTTGTAAGGTGCTCTCCTTGATGTGCTGGATGAAGAGGTTTCTCTCGTCCTCGGGCGTTTGGCCATTTTGGGCTCGGACGATGCAGGTGGGCCGGTGTAGGTTGAGCATGTAGACCAGCTGCTGCTTCTGCTGCTTCAGCTCCTCAATCTGAGCCTTCAGGTCAGCATTGACAGTCTCCAGTTTCTCTGACTCCTATAGAAGAGAGAGAGGGGGAAGGAGAAATTGATTGTTAATGCTGTACTTTAATGTTACTTTCAATGTTCAATCTTTGTTAGGCAAGCTACTTTGTACTGTAGATAAATTAGGTTAAACAAAATTGAGCTCGGTTATCTTCTCTGAAATTGATAGAAGTTTAAAACTACCTTTTGCAGACACTCTGTCTTCTCCTTCTTCTTGTTGCGGCACTTGGCAGCAGCAATTTTGTTCCTCTCCCTCCTCCTTTTCCTCCTCTCGTGCTCCTGAGGTGTCGCCTAAAAACCAGAGAAAGAAATATAAACTGTCAATATTTCACCCCTTCACGCTTCACAGTCAGTGTCAAAAAATACAGACGACTTCATGCTGCAGTTTCCCTCCACCTCACCTCTCTCTTGACTCCGGATCCACAGGCGAGGTGCTCCGAGGCTCGGTCCGAGCTGGAGCTGGCCCCGTCGGAGCTCATGTCGACGCTGAGCCCGTTGGACAGGCGCTTGGACTGGATGGCCAGCCGCAGCTCCTCTTTCACGATGGGTGTGAAATCAGTGAAGTCGTCCAGGGTGAGTGTGCCCGGCGGGGAGAGGCAGGGCACCAGGGCGGAGCAGCTGATGTCAGCCAACGAGGGACCTGAGTGCTGCAGCATCATTCTGGAAACACAAGAGTCACACGATTATTATCATGTTAATCAAAGTCACTGGGATTTTAGGAGGGTCTGTTTGCTGAAGACAGCTACAAATAATACAATTCAGAAGCATGTTATGCAAAATTTGTTCATGAATATGAATTGGTTCAGATAAAAAAAATACTATAAAAAGTCCCTATAAACGCAACGCTAAAACATTATAAATGTCTATAAAGATATTATAGTGATAACATATAGGATCAAAATACAATTAAACCCGGCAAGGGCAGTTTATATCAATATTAAGTAGCACAAACACAAAATAACTTACTGTAGTAATATTATAGTAGATTAAAAATATTAACAACCACAAAGAAATCACAGAGAGACAATGGAGATAATAGAGTGACAGCTTTCTTGTTGAGTAATCATGCTACAGATCTTAAATATTGCACAAAAACTATAAAAAACAAAAGTTATAAGATGAGATTTAAGGTTATCTAAGGTGACATGGAGAAGGAGGAGAAATCATTTATGGTCACAGAGCCAAATATGCTTGATTGCAGTACCACCTGAATATTAAATATTATATTAACTATAATTGCCTTTTGGGAATAATGCCATAAGCAATTAAAGAGAATCATTAATAGGTGCCGATGTTTGTTATCCAAACAGAGGAGCGACTCATGGAGAATTATGACTGACAGCCTGATAAGATGATTATGATGTTTATCAGCTCTGTGAGACCAAAACCAAAACAAACATGTCACGCATGTTACATGATGCAAAAACACCTAAAGTTATATAATAATATATATAGATATTCTCCCTGTTCTATAGAGTAAAGTCTCAAAGTAAGGAACACAATAATTATATTACTTAATTGCCATTTTTTAAACATTTTTGCCTTTTCCTAAGTAAGAGAAATATATAAATAACGGCAAAATAAACTTCACTAAACCCTATAAATGAAGAAAAGCCTAATTGGAACATGCAAGTTTATATTGTTTGTTAAGTTTAAGTTATTTAGGTTATTATAATGTATGACAAAGACCGAGCAGATGAGATTAATCGCAGTTAAAATCGCTCAAAAGTGTTATATTAGAATGAAAACAGCTTTACAATCACACATTATTGTAACATCTGAACCAAACAGCTTCTCTCTTCTCTGTTTTAATTCAATCTGACCGGTAGAAATCAGTTCAGAAGTTTCGGTAAAGTGTCCCGGGACAGCGGAGCGCAGAGACGCACCGGGACTTCTCCGCTATACCAACCGGGACAACACGAACCCAAACACAGCCCCCACCCCACAAACCCCACTACAACAAACCTCATCCCCGGAAACAAAAGACCAACCTACCTGTTAAAGCTGTGAGTGAGTGGGTCTCAAGAAACTACAAGCTCCTCTTATAAAGCTCAGTCTCTCCTTCTCTTCTGTTTGTCTTCCTGTCGGTGCGTACAGTTGCGCTTGCAGCCGGTGCGTTGCATCACCCGCCTTTATAGAGAGCAGCCGGGGGGCGTGGCCTGGGGGCGTGGCCTGGTGACGGAGCAGGAATGCTACGAGAGAGTGGAGCGGGAGGCTGACGTCATTCTATTTATAGGAGGATTATGCTGCGATGATGCAATCGAGCAACCCCGAGCTCTGCCATAAGAGGACAGGCTTCCCCCCCCCTCCTCCTCCTTCCTCTTCCCCTCCCTCCCCTTCCCTCTCCCCTGGCTCTCTTTTTGTCTTCCTTCCTCCCATCCCAGGCTTTTCCTCTTTCCTCACCCTTTCAATCTTCTCCTCACTTTTTCCCCCTTCTTCCTCAGTCCTCACTCCTCTTTCCTTTTCTCCCTCTTTCTTTTTTCCTCCCCCTTTTCTCACTTCTTTTCCCCTGATATTGTCCGGTTCTCTCTCTCCGTCCTGTGATCTCCTTCTTTTATTCCTCATTTCTTTCCCCTTTGTTATTTTTGCCTTTGTTTCATCTTCTCTCTCGTCCTCTCCTTTTCATTCATCCCTCCTTCCTTTTTTCTTTCTTCTTGCCTCTCCCTTCCCCTCTCCCAACTCATGTCATATTCTCTCTTTTAATCCCTTGTTTTGACTTCTTCTCTCTTTCGCTCTTCCTATTTTTTCTTTCTTTTAATTACTTTATCTACTTCTTCCTCTCTCTGTCTTTCTTTCTATCCTTTCTGTCTCCTTCCCATATGCTCTCCCCTGCCTTCTTCCTCACTCTTTTCCTCTTTTACTTCTTCTCACCATTCCCTCATCTATTGTTTCCTTCTTTCTCATCCTTCTTTCATCCCTCCCTCCCTTTCCCTTCTATTTCTTCTCCTCCCCTCTGTCTCTTCTTCCTCCCTCATTTCTTCTTCTCCTTCTCACCTTTCCTCCCTCCTTCATTTTCAAACTTTTCCACCCTTCTTCCCATCCCTCCATCCTGGCACTCTTTCATTTCCATCCCTATCCCTCTTTCCTTTTCTCCCCCTTTTCCCAACTCTTTTTTAATTGTCCCTCCCACTCCCAGTCTCCCATCCTTCCTTTTAGTCCCTTTCTTCTCTCTTTTTCTCCTCCTTTCCTTCTCATCCCTGTTCTTTCTCTCACATTATGTCACCCTCTCTTCCTCCCTCCCTCCCTCTCTCCCTCCCTCCTTCCTTCCTCCCCCTTTCTCCCTGCCTTCCATCTACCATTAATTATCCAAAAAGCTGAATAAAACTAATCGAATGACGACAAACAATAAACAAGTAAATTAGTCATTAATAACTCTTCTCCCTCTCCCCTTCCTCTCCGTGATCTCCCCGTTTTGACACGGACATGGATTCCCACTCCCGACATTCCACACTAACGAGTGAATAAAGCTGTTCAAGCTGAATGACACACAACAGTTATTTATTCTGTGGTTACATGTCAACAGCCGGGGTATAAAACTATGAGCTTAGACAGATAGACAGTGAACTGGGATCGGCTCCTTTCTTCATCTGATCCTGCGCTGATTTTTAATGATATATTTTTCTAAATTTAGAGCTTATAATTTGTTTATAAAGGTGAAATGACCTTTCTCAAGAAGTGACAATCAGCTGGTTAGGTAGGTAAAGAACATATTTTCTTTTTCTCCAATTGTAAATTCACTGTACACAGTTTTATAGCAGTGAAGTGGCTTATAGTCTTAATCGGTTGATCTTGTTTTCCTGACCTCCTGTCAGTGAGAAGTTGTGTTTCTACCTTAAAAACACACGATGTAGTTGTACTACTGTATAAAAGTTGCTGTAGCTGTAAGAGAAAGCTGTTTGCAGCTGTACCAGCATTACATCCACTGTAGTCTTTGGCATTAGCAGGGGAATGGGTGCTTCTCTTTTTTATTTACTCTAAAGTAAAACTTGTTACTATATAACCACGTGCTTTCACAACTTGTGGAAGTGGAAGATGTAGTAGTGTTTCTTTCTATTGGTAGTAAAGCTGCTGTAGTTATATAGGTGTTAGCAGTTACATTCTGATGGCCTATTGGTTAAAGATGTGTTGAATAAAACCACAGAACCCTGGTTCTAATATGTGCCATACCCATTTATCTCCCGGTACCTCATGTTTCTTCTCTGTCTCTTCACTGTAAGCTATCTAAGATGGGTTTTTTTTATAGTCTGAGGCTGTGGGCCTACCCTGAGACAAAGCTTGGATAGTTATTTACATTACTTAGTTTCGCTCAATTCCTGGATGCCTATGCAATCATGACTATGTTATTTGATCCCAAAGACACTCAAAAATTGTGCCCAGATTATTATTATGATTATTATTGCTGTTTTACAAGGCATGTATTAGTTTCTGTTAAAATGTTCATCCTTCATATCGAGCAGCTACTGTCATAACTTTTCATACTGGGGTGAAAAAAATCTAAACATCCAGAAACGTCTCTGTTCCAGCGCCACAATCTTCTTCTCTGCAGTTTGTGCTCGATATACTACGACAACCATATTTTAATTAATTGAAATGCGCCTAAAATGTGCTCTGAATCTGCGACCATAGCTTGCAGAGGGATGTCTGAGACTCTAGAGACAGATTTTGTATTGCCAAAGAAGCAGGGCTATACTAATACAGTAAAGCTGCCAAAACTAGACTTAAAAACACTATTAGAAAGTTTATTAGCAGATGGAAGTATGGAGTATTTTCAAGCAGAGAAACAGAGCTCTTTCCTCCTCTGCCTTCTCTCCTTTCTTTCTTTTCCTTCTTTATCCCTCATTTCCTGTCATTTCCAGTACAACGCCTTGAATGTTGTAATATAGAAACTTTTTGTTTAGTCTGCCTACTACAAAAATGTTTTAACTTTCACTTTCACTGAATCCAGTCTTTCTTAGAACAAATTGTTGCTTAAGGAGTTCAGATTGAGAAATGTCAAAACCAAGAAATCAGAGGGATGAATTACATTAGTACCATGAGTTCATGACTTTACCCGAAATGCATTATACAAGAGGAACCACTGCTGTGCATTATGTATGACTGATGTAGAAACTTCCTCCCCCCTGGTCATGTGTAACAAGTGTGTGTGTGTGTGTTTTCATTCACTCTGGGTCATACATTGTGCAGGGAAGCCTTGACATGTCAATGAAATCACCTCAGCGCTGATTTTCCATTCAGGGAAACCTTTACCTTCTGTGTGCGTGCTGGTCATATAACTGGGGTGTCATGGTGCACGCCACCCAGCATTAAAATAGAACCATAAAACGGTTAATATTTAACCAAACAGTGTTTCCCTGCTGAGAATTACAACAGGCTGTACAGTGGAAAATAGTTATCTGGTTGCTGACTGAACAAATCCAGCTCCAGGTTAAAGGGTTGAGGGTTTAGAGATACGATGAAATCTGGGACAGGGAATCCTCCCCTTTCCAGATTTCATTTATGGGTGAGTGTTTTGTAGATTGTATGTACAGGAAACATTTTGTGGTGTTTTTTATGTTTGTGCACCTGACTGCAAGTCAAGTTTCCTTTCTGGGATAGTAAAATGAGTTATACAAACATGAAATGGTTTTTCTCTGGAAAAGAAAGTGGAAACAATCTCAGATTTAGGGTTTGTTTATGGTTTGAAGTTATATATATTATATTAGGTATTCAGAGATAGTGTCACCCAAAAGAGAAGAAGACATTTTGAAAACATTTGATCAGAAACAAGACACCATAAATGCTGTTTATTTAAAAAAAAATGCAGGATTCGTATGTATGAACCTCCCTCAATCTGGAATAATATGTATTAAAATACATTTAATAGCCTTTAATTTTTTGGGAAATCCCCTCAAGTTTTGTGTCACTACCTGCCTTAACAAGATATATGTTTAAAACATGTTCGGTGTGTCACAGCTTACAACCCAGAGCACCGGTTCATGGTTTTAGTTCCGGGTCTGGTTTTCTTTTGGTTTTGATTCGTGTGAAGACCAGCAATGTCAGACATGTGTTTTGTAATATATTTTGTAACGTAGCAAAATCAGTCATTTTTTTTAGAATACGGATCAGCAGTGGTTAGACAGAGGCGGGAAACATTGTGTGGACAGATAATGTCGACACATTAAAAGTTTGTGTGAAGCATCTAATTAGAGCTGACATGCTTGTAGTTTTATTGAGAGAGAGACCATGAAGAAAAAATCTGTAGGGTGAAACACACGCAGACACTCTCTCACTCTCTCAGCAGGCAGACGGGTGTTGAAAAGTTTACGAGGTCAGTGTGGTGATCCAGATTGATGCTGCGACGTGAAGTCATTGCTGACCCTGCTGACTATTAATACCATATGATCAGAGTGCTAAATATTACATTCTCTATTTTTGTATTTGGAGGGTTTCATACCAAGCTCTGTGTGCTCACACCCACCAAACTGCTGTGTTTGTTTGCCAAGATTTAAAACGCAATATATTCATTTGGTTTATTAACTTCGGGAATGAGACTTCACTCTGTGTTCAGCTGTGACAATCACATTTCACACATGGAGTCGTTTTGTCGGAGGAAGTTATAATAACATTTTTAAACTGTTAATTCAAATGTCAAAAGTGGGCGTAAAACTGGTTCTAGATTATATAAGAAAGGTTGTAATGACAAAGATGGGTGTTTTTATATTATGTTAAGTTATGTCAAGTCTATGTTGCCTAATTTTCAGTATTTAAAAAATGGTGAATAACGTGTAGGAGCAAAATAATAGTATTTTATTGGCTAAAGGTAAGAAACAACAAGCCAACTGTTAATAATTGAAGTCATTTGTATATGTTTAGTATTGTTCAGTAGTGCATCTGCTGTTTTCTCGCTTCCTTTACCTGTTTTCCTTGAGACAATAAATCATGTTATATTGCTTCATGACCTTAGTCTAAACAAAAAAAAACAAAAAACCCAATTTTCTTCAAACTGATACTAGAGCAGGTGGCCACAGGCAGCACGAGTTAACCACAGTACTCTCACTCCCACCTGCTGCGAGCTTTCATTTCACTTCCTGGAGTGCTGAGTCTGTTTGGTTTATGAACTTTCAGCCACAGACGTTAGTT